ACGCTGCAATCCCTTCTCTTCCATTCTCCTCTTAGGATCTTGGGCACGCACGCATATGCACCCAGCATGAAGCTTAAGCCACCGGGTCTGGGACTTGAACCTCGATCGACTAACATGGGAGTCCAGTGACATAGCCATTACGCTAACTGCTGGTCCCAAACACCCGCTTGTAAGCTTAAGCTCTTTATCTCTGGTTCTTCCTTCACCAACTACCTGTTCTAGTTGCCTCTCAAGAGAGGTACCTTTTTTTTTTTTTTTTTTTAATTTTGCTATAGGTGTGTGTGCTCACTGGAGCAACAGAGAGAGAGAAAAAGAGAAAGCACTCCCCCCATGGGGGATGACCATGCCATGACCTCTTCTCTTTCATTCTCTTTTCAGGATTTTGAGCATGCACACACACCTGCTTGGCATGTTTTTCAAACTACAGAGTTTGGGACTCAAACCACATAGTTGGCCATGTGGGGTCCAGCTTTTTTTTTTTTTTTTTTACAAGAGATTTTTGTGATTGGGTGCATGCGATTGCCGGGAGAGAGATTTTTGTGATTGGGTGCATGCGCTTGCCAGAGAAACAGAGAGAGACGAAGAGACAGAAAGTAAGAAATCACCCCCTCTGGGGATGACCACACTGCAATCCCTTCTCTTCCAGTCGCCTCTCAGGATTTGGGGTATGTATCTACACACGCCTGACATGGGTCTCCAGCTGTGAGGTCTGAGACTCAAACCACAGTGGGCCACGTGGGAGTCCAGCAACATAACCACTATGCCATCGTCTGGTCCTGGGGTCCAGCCTTCTTCACCACCACTCCACCAGCTGGCCCCTGAGAGGTGCTCTTGATCACCATGGTGCTGCTCCTCTACTTTCTCCTTCTCACCGAGGCGGTAAGGATCTGGGACTGCCACAGAAGACCCTGCTCTCTTGGATGATCGTATCTTACTGTCTTTGCTGTTCCCCTCCCCATTTTACTATCTTGGCCCCAGAAACCTGTGATCTTACTAATGGCTCCAAAATACACACACACACTATCATAATTTTTTTCCAAGTCTATTCATTTATTTCCTCTGGAAGATAGTCAGAGAGACAGGAACCCCCAGCAGGATCCTCAGCTGGGATCCACCCTCCACCCAAGCCAGTCTGGGTCATGGGAACACATATGCACCTTGAGTGTGCAGGGAGACCCCAGATGTGAACCCGGGACTGTCCCAGGTGGGTGTAGTTACACCACTGTGAGCTTACTGTCTAACCTACGACTACCATCTTCACTATTTCACTAGGGCCAGCCTCTCTCTGTCTCATAATTTTCAAAAAAATGAATTCAAACTTATGAAGAAAGTACAGTTTTAGAAGTTAAGGGACCAGCAGTTAGTGTAATGGCTATGTCGCTGGACTCCCATGTAGTCGACCGTGGTTTGAGTCCCTGACCTGGTGGCTTAAACTCATGCCAGGCGCATGTGTGTATGTGCCCAAGATCCCGAGAGGAGAAAGGAAGAGAAGGGACTGCGGCGTGGCCATCTCCCTGGGGGTGATTTCTCGCTTACTCTCTGTCCCTCTCTGTCTCTGTCTTTCTGACGAGCACAAGCGCCCTATAGCAAAAACCTCTCCAAATAAATAAATACATAAATAAATAAAATAAAATAAGTTAAGGTCAGTAGCTTCATATCCAGAAAAACCTAAGTAGGAGTTTCTGGGTGGATGTATGTTGCATGACTGGGCAACTAACTACTATCTTTGATCTTCATTCTCCTGTGTAAAGTGGGGATATTGATTCTGATTTTAGAGAGCAGCTAGAATAATTAAATGAGATACATATACAGCACTCAGCACAAGCCTGGCTACAGTAAGCAATGAGTTAATAAAAGTGAGTATTGCTGTTTTCTATTAATGAAAAGAATTTAAACAAAATACAAAATATTCTTTCCTGCATCTTCTCTTTCTCTCCCCAATTCTGTCTTCTCTACCTGGTAAAATAACTTGCTTTATATAGACCTTGCTTTCCATGTCAGTGCCCAGAATCACAAAGTAGTGGTTGCATTAATATTAGTAAAATTCCAATCTACAGAGCATTTGGTGAACTAGAAAGAACAAAGATTGAGCAACAAGCCACGTAGACTCTTAATTCCGGTTGCTATCAAGTCAGACAATTGGGGAAAGTTACCGTCCCTTAAGGGCCATCAACTTCTTCTGTAAAAGGAAGAGTTGGGATAAAATGAACTTTTGGATTCCTTCTCATTCTGACGTGCTATGGTTTGATATGATAAGGTGATTCTCTGAGTGAATTCTTTTATTTATCCTTATAAACTTCAAGAGATGGGGCCAGTGGGTTGCATAGTGGTTAAGGTGCTGGACTCTCATGTGGTTGACTACGTTTGAGTCCCTGACTTGGCAGCTTGAAACTCACACCAGGTGCATGTGTGTGTGTGCCCCAAATCCTGAAGGGATTACAACATGGCCATTACCCCTGGGGGGTGATTTCTCACTTTCTGTCTCTCTATCTCTCTTTCCAGTGAGTTCACATGCCCTATAGCAAAAATCTCTCTCAAAAAACAAGAACCTCAAGCGATGTGTTTTTTTCTTCTGAAATGTCTTGTTGTGTGGCTTTATCATGCCTTGCATTTTCTTCACCTGTAAAAGAGTAGTCGAAGGTAGACTGTGGAATTAATCATTTTAGGTTTGGATTTCAGCACCGTTACTTGACTTTTGTCCAGTTATTTAACTTCTCTGAGCCTCAGTGACCTTACCTGTCAAATGGGAATAGACAGAGGGTTCATGGGAAGAAGAAAAGATACAAAACCCTTAGGAATAAGTAACCCCCAAAGACTATGGTTTCTTTGTCTTGTAGATATTACCCAGTTTTACCTCTAACATAGCAAACTTATTTCAGAATGTCTTTGTGGTCTCTCAATACCTTGTTACCATCTTACTGATTTTCTCATTAGTAAGTTGAGTAGAATCTTTCACATGTGTTTCTTTCTGGTTTTCGTTTGTATGAGAACTGCATTTTAAAGTCGCTTTAAGAAAAGGCTTCTTATTTTATTCTTCCATGAGTGAGACAGAGAGAAAGAGATACAGAGAGATATGACCTCCAGCAGGGCCTTGATGTCCTAATCCACCACCAGCGCTAGTCAGCCCTGGAACATGGGCATCCACATGCCGATGTTCCAGGAGGTCTCTGTATGTGAACTCAGAACCTTCCCATGTGGGTCAGCCTTATAGAACCTTGCATTTTCCAGCTGTGCCCCTATCTGGTCTCATTTTTAAGTTCTTAGTATTTATACTTTGACAGGTCCTAACTAACTCTGCCTTAAGATATTTTCCTCCAGGGACCAGCAGTTAGCGTAATGGCTATGTCGCTGGACTCCCACGTAGTCGACCGCGGTTTGCGTCCCGGACCCGGTGGCTTAAACTCACGCTGGGTGCGTGTGCGTGTGTGCCCAGGATCCTGAGAGGAGAATGGAGAAGGGATTGCGGCGTGGCCATCCCCCCTGGGGGTGATTTCTCGCTTTCTGTCTCTCTGTCTCTGTCTGTCTGGCAAGTGCACGCGCCCTATAGCAAAAACCTCTCCAAAAAAAAGAAAAAAAAAAAAGATATTTTTCTCCATAGACTGACATTGGCAAAGTTCTTTTTGCTAGAAATGCTGATGAGGTCATTGGAGGGAAAAACTACACTGGGTTTGCATCTCTAGACTTTCTGTCCCCTTCTTCCCTAAGTCCGTTAGCTGGAGCCAGGTTGTATCAGGGTGAAGGAGGGGGAGAAAATCCCTTGGCAAAATTTCTACCTACTGGGAAAAAAAAATAAGCAAAAAGCAAAATGAGCCTAGCAGAAAGAGATACTTTCATTGTGGCCTTTACATTTATGACTAGCAAGATAATGAAGGAAGGTAATTCTGAAAGCTTTATGTCAGTTTTAATGGTCCCTCAAGCACTGAGAAAGATAATAGTCAATGGATGGCGTCCACAAGGATTTTGTCTCCTTTCCCCCTGACAGCCATTGACAGGATCATTTTGTATTTGCAACTGCTGTCACTGAAGCGTGGAAAAAAAGGCCCTGTAAGGCCAGGAGGATGAGGGCTACTTCCCTGCAAGGATCGCCATTGTCATCACTATGGCAATAATAGTTACTATCATTTTCATTCTGCTTTTCTACAGAATGTCTACTTCATGGAGCTTGAGGCCATGGGATTTGGGTCACATAAAATCACACTAGCATAAAATCATGCATTGTAATCTGGCAAGGGTATTTTATAAAACGGCCAAGAGAACCTATGCAACAAGATTAAAATAATTACCAATGCAGGTCACTTGACTAATACAGTTATTTATGGGATGCTAATAGCTTTCCAGAGGCTTTCAGATACAGTGTCAATTTGACAGCCGTGTTTTCCTCTCTCCCTTTGGATTGTTAGACCGCTGCCAGTTTTTCTCCCCAAGGACATGGCTTATCACTGCGGGGAGTGAGGGGGGTTGGGGAGAGGGATGTGAATTAATTGCAACTCAACTCTCGGAAGTCATTTGGTAGTTTCTCTTCTTTATCCGCAATGGAATCATAAGAAGCCCCTGTGCCTTCTGTATCTCATTTATGTACACCGTCATCTCCTCTTATTGTGCTCTGCAGAGGTCAGCTTCGATGTTGTTAGCTCTCCGACAGAGACAGCATTCGAGATGTCACACCTTCCGAAGTGCGATTCTGCTGAAAGGGCCTTTTGGGAATTACGGGGTGGACAGTGCACGTGTGATCTATTGATAGTAAGAGGCCTCTGGGAAGGAGAAATCAGACAGGTGGAGACAAAGAAAAGGGGTACCGAGAAAAAAGGTGAAAATGAGAAAGACAGACAAACAAACAAAAAAGGACTAAAGAGAAAAATAACAGAAGAGACAGACGAAAAAGAAAAGCCCAGTGCTGGCGGCGGCCCGGGCCAAAGCGACGGCACGCGGAGGAGCGGAGACTACAACCCCCAGCATCCCTTGCGGCGCCTCCCTCCGGGCGTCAGTCTCCTAGGCAACCCCGTAAACAAGATGGCGGCCTCCGGCAGAGCTCCCCCGTGGTCCAAACCAGTCTCTCTCCAGAGCAGTTTACAACTTGGAGCCCAATCGATACCTCTGCGCTCAGAAAAAGAGCGTCAGCCTTACTGGTCTTTCCCCATGGGGCAGAGGACGAACGATGTTTTCCACGGCAGCTCCTCCTACCTGCTCCAGCAGCTCATTCACCGCGACCAGGAGTCCGAAGCGGAAGAAGTCGAATCCGAGGAGTCCTCCGAGTCCGAGATGCTGAATCTGGAGGTGTGCTTTTCCCCCCACTCTTTCTCCCCGACTCCCTCTTCAGCTGTCAAGCCGGGCTACCTGAACGGCGGCTCCCCCGCACAGCTCTCAGCCGCCCTAGACTGAGCGCACCTCTTCCAGGGTGGGCTCTTCCTGAGGACTCTCAGCCCCTCTCTCTCTTTGCTGTCCACTTCTCTTACCCCATTTCCTCACCCCATTCCTGAAATATCTCCAAGTACAGGGGACCTCAAAAAGTTCGTGGAAAAAATGGAATCAAAGTAATAGTTTATTTTGGTGCAAAACATTTTTTTAAATATCCATGCATAGTTTAAGCATTTCCACGAACATTTTGAAGACCTCCCCTCCCATCTCCTTTTTAAAAAATTATTATTATTAACACATTTGCTATCTTAGTCAAGTTGCACAGAATTGTTATGAAAAATTATCAGCATGTGGGTATGGGAGTTATGGTTTGACGGTATTGTAGTTAAACAGACTTCATCTTTGGCATCCTAGCTCCTATTCCCAATGGCCAAGTAGTGCTCCAACAGGCTTCTTTAATTCTAGTCCTTCGTCCTCCCCCTCCAGAAAAAGTAAACAAAATAAAATTATATTACTAAATAACCTGGTAAGTGCTTCCTCAAAGACTAAGTAACTTTAACGTTTAATATATTGTATTTGCTAGGGGTAAAGGCCTTATACAAGTAACACACACATACACCCCAGAAAGGAGCTGTAGAGTGTTCAAGCAGCCAGCTCACTGTGATAGCATTTTAGGATGTGGGGACATTCCTCATCTTCCCATCTGTATTGCCTGGGACAGTGGCTTCCCCTTTCACATTAATAAAAAACTCCCACTTTTCTGTAATGCCTCTTCTAACCCTCACCCAATACTACTTCTCTTCCACTTATTATCATCCTTCCTTTCTTAGCCCATGGCTAGCCTTCTTGTCCCTTTCCACTTATCATCACATCCCATCCTTCTCTTGGTTTCTAATAAACTGCTTGCTTTCTTTCAAAACCACAACCAATTTACTTCCTTTCATTACTCCGAGAGGGTTTCCTCTTTATCTTGACTGTCAGGAAGCCCAGAATCAATATTTTAAAACATTTCAATAGTTTTCTTTAGATTAGGTTTTTCTATCCTTTTCCTCTTCCTTTGTAGTGTAAATCACTTCCAGTTCTTTTCAGAAGGAGATATAATATAGAGAAATAGAATGTTTCCAAGATCCCTACTGTGATATTCTCCTTGTTCTCCTCTTTGGATCTTTGCATTTCTTTCTAGTCACCAATCCTCCTGGAGGAAAAATTTGTTTCTTTTTTTTAAGAAATATTATTACTATTCTTCAATTTGACCAGAGAGAGACAGAGAGAGAGAGGGCGAGTGAGAAAGCAAGCCAACCCCTCCTGGACTCGAACTTCAGTCGACCATGTGGGAATCCAGTGCCTCAACCACCACACCACCTGCTGACCTTTTTATAAACTCTGTTCCTCCTTCATCCAATTTTTTTCTTATCCTCCCCTCTCCAACCTATAGTGTCTTCTGTTACTCTTATTCTATCATTAATCCTTCACACTCTTGCCCCTCTTGACTTTCTTCTTTTGTACTCTCTTTTTGTTCACTTTCAACATTTGGCCCATTTTCCCCACCCTCATCACCCATTTGGTTTTCCCTCTTCTACATCTCTCTATATGAGCTAATTACACATTAGTTTTGCTTACAGTTGATCATAGAAAATTATTATTTATTTCGGTCATGATTACTTATTTCGCTGATTTACTTTGCTACCTTTAAAAGTGACTATTGCAAAACTGTAGCGGTGTTTTTGCAACTTTGAGATGTTTGTATGGTTTCTACCAGCTCCCACCCCAGAGGAATTCACAAATGAACCACCAGTATACTTTATTATTCTAATTAGCACATGCTCTTTGGCTATGGGGTTCATTAGTACCATTGTTAATCTGTCTTCGGTATGCCATTAACAAATGGTACAGGGCTTGACTTCAATTAGTTATTTTTTTTTTTGGCTTTAAGATGTTATATTCTTAATATTTATTTGTGTTCTCAGATTCTATGTTGGCCTTCTATAGTATTACATAGGTTTTAATATGTTGGATAAACGAAAATGTTACAATAAGAGACATTTGGATATCTATAGTCTGTGATTTATTTTCCATATCTTAGCCTGGGTAAGATTTGTAACGCTAGAATAGTTGCATTGATTATTGAATGCCTATAATTCAATTAGTCCCAAATGTCAGAAACCTTTGTGAGTTTACAAAATATTGGATAGACTGGCTTTGGAATAAAAAATGTGTAGCCAGCTCCATTGTGCATCAGTAATATGCTACTCAAGAGAAGCTGATCCCACGTAAGGATGGTAGGTCGATCCCCTGTCTGGTCATCCTGAAACACACTGGGTATGCATGCGAGTGCCAAGGACCCAACATACTGGAAGACCGGGGAAAGGGGATGGTGATGCAACTAGACCCTGTGGAAGGTAGTCACCCCCCTCTCTCTCTCACATGTGCAGACATATGCTAGCTACATCATGAATAAAGAAAAAAATAAATATCTTTAAGGCTTGGTTTAACCTTTTGTTAGTTGTGAGATCTTGAACAAGTTACTTTACCTCTCTACCTCTCATCTGTAATGTGGGGATTATAACAGTATCTATCTCATTGGAGAATTGCAAGGATTAAATGAGGGACTATATGTAAAATGCTTAGCTTAATATCTTATCGATACTGTTATTAATGCAAATAGTAACTTAAATGCTAATTGTAACCCCTTTGGATTTAGATTTAGAGGTTTCATTAACTTAGCCTCCATTGCACAACCATGTATCGACTGATTACTATATAGGAAGCACTCTGACTACATAGAGCGGAAGTGTTTAGGTCCAAAAATGGTTGCATAAAAGCCACTCTTCACTCCTAACTTAATGTGGTTAGTAATGTCTATCCATGCGACAGTTATGAACATCATATTTAATGTGAAACTTTATGCTAGAGTTCTTAATATAGTATCTGATACAGAACAGGCTCACAACATTATAGATGTAATAAATAACCATCATAACAATAAGGGACAGTGATTGAGAGTATACATGGTCCCTTCTCAAAGTGAGAAGAATGTGAGTAAATCACAGCAATTCAGCCTCTGTAGTATTGTACACAGAGATATGTACAGAGGACAGGTCGATTGCAGAGATCTTGGAGGACTTTAGTAGAAGAAAACTCTCATCTAGGTGGAGAGGGGGTGTGCAGGCAGGCAGATGGCAGCTTCTCCTGCTGCTGAGTTACAGGTGAGACCAGAAGAAGCAGTTGAGGGAGGGCCCAGATTGTGGCGGCTCTGTGTTGTGGTATGGACATGGACTGGAACCACTAAGTGGGAGTAGAACCACTGTGGTGGCCAAGTGGCATTAGGTTAGAGAAGAGTAAGCCTAGAGGCAGGGAAATCAGTGAGAAGAACTGCAATATTCAGGGGTCAGTGAGAAGAGCCTAGACTAAGATACAAGCAGTAGGGATGGGGAAGAAGCTAAAGTGGAAAACATGAAAAGATTTAAGATCGGACATTCACTAGTTGAATATGAAGGTACTTCAACAGTTGATGGAAAAATGAATCGAAGGACAGGTTTGTTCTGGTGCAAAAATTTTTGAAATTCATGCCTAATTTTTCATAATATACGTTTTCTGTGAGCTTTATAAGACCCTGTATTAGAAGTCTAGGAGGTTATGCCTGTGGCATGGTCTGAGGGTTACTAAGACCATTCTCTAGCTATAATAGGAGTCAGAGACAGATGAAGCTATGCATCAAGGATTTCGATACATGAACCATGTGACCTGGGGATCAAGGGAGGAGCCTCAAGAACATGGGAATGGGTTATGCTAATACAGGTTTGGTGGGAAAAGGTCTAAAAAATGCTCATTATCTTTGCCTCTTGCAGGCCACTGGAGACCTTGGCCCATGTGGGTCCTGTGATGTGGTAGAGACAGAAGTCTAACTGGAGCGGGTTAAGAGTGAATAGGAGGTGAGGAAGGGGAAGCTAAGGTGTAAAAAACAACTCAGGAGAAGCTTGGTTTTCAAGGGAACTCTACCTATAGCTAAGGAAACATGCAGGACAGAAAGCCTGGTTAGGACAGAAGAGACTCCCAGATTAATATTTAGATAGCTGGAAAAGGGACCTCTTGGGAGTGACAGGTTGAGAACACAGACAAAAGAGGGAAATTATGAGTCCCGGAGGAAACAGGGGAGTGGGACCCTGAGTAGAGAGGAGTGATCTGAGACTCGAGCGAGAAGATTTGGGACAGGTGCAGGAAGTTGAGAGGGTTTATGTCTGAGTTTCTATTTTGCCTCAGAAGTAGAAGGGCATTTGTCGAGAGGAGGACAGAGTTGAGGCAATGGAAGGAATGACGAGAGTGATAAAGATCTGAACTAGTCAAAAAGAGAAGTTGGGAAGAGCTGATGAAGAGCAGGAGACAGGCTTCTAGCCCTGAGGCTGAGCTGAAAGTTGGCTTTACAGTGGGTGCATGGTTTTAAGTTATTTTCCAGCTCAGAGGGCAGAGTAAATATATCATTCAACCTTAAAAAAAAAAAATTGCTATAGGGTGTGAGTCCTCACCAGAAAGAGAGAGAGAGAGGGAAAGAAAGTGAGAAATCACTCCCTGGGGAGATGACCATGCCACAATCCCTTTACACTCTCCTCTCAGGATTTGGGTATGGGCACACACACCTGGCATGTCTTTCAAGTCATCAGGTCCAGGAATCAAACTGTGCAGTTGACCATGTGGGATCCAGCCACCTTAACCACCATGCCACCTGGCTGGGCCTCAGCCTGTGTTTGCATGCTTACCAGGCATGAGGCTTATTTTCCTCCTTCCTTCTTTATGCTTTAGCCATTTGAACTCTTTGTAGTCCTCCCAGTGGGCCATGCTTGCCTTTGCCTTTGAGACTGGGGACACGTTACCTCCTTTGCCTGTAATGCAACTCCTTGGCTCCCTTTTCAGCCTTTTCTTCCCCTTTGCCAAAATAACTCATAACTTTGGTTTCACCTTGATTTTTCTCTCCCCAAGGAAGCCTTTGCTAACCTCCTTCTCTACCCTGGCACTGACATATAGTGAGTACCCTACTAATAGTCAGGAGCACCCTGTTCATCTCTACTGTAATATTTATCCAACTCTTGAAACTGTGTGTATACTTGTCTGTCTCTCAGACTGAACTATAAATCCCCGTGGATAGGTATCATGTCTATTTGCTTATTCACTTATTCACCATGGCTTGTCCACTGAAGCTAGCATTCTGGCTGGCATGTGCTCAGCATTCTATAAAGAATTCTTTTCACTCAGCTAGCCAGTTATGTGATAGTTAAAGCAGCTGGATTCCACATGGCCAACTGCAGTTTGAGTCCTAGACCCAGTTGCTTGAAAAACATGCTGGGTGTGTGTGCATGCATGCATGCCCAAAATCCTGAGGGGAGAATGGAGAAGAGATTGAGATATGGCCCATGTCTCTTTAGTGAGCACTCACACCCTATAACAATTTTTTTTAAAAATATTTTTTTCCTAAATGAATGATGAATGTGATACTATCCCTGCCTCAATGCAGTAGTTCATTGTGAACTTGATGAGGGTTTAAGTAGAGATGAAGTATTGAAAGTTGCAACCATGAGCAAGGTATCAGACACTTGAGGGTAGAGGGAAATTGAAATTGCCCATGAGATGCCCACTAGGTAAAGAATTATAGTCAGGAGGAGAGAGAAAGACTCTGAGAAAGGGAAGGATTAACAGGCCCAAGCTTTCATGGTGATCGGAGAACATGTTCAGTAAGGTGTTCGAAAGGTTGAAGGACAGGCAGTTGGGAGGTTAAGGAACAGTGTACTGGGGTCTGAGGGTTCTAGGGTAAAACAGGTTAGCACAATGTCTAGGTCCAGGGCATGACCATGGGAGTGAGTCTCTGAAATTGAGTGGAGATCAAGTTTAAGGTGTTGGAGTTAGAGCAGTAAAGAAATTGTGTGTGTGTGTATGTGTGTGTGTGTGTATACATGTGTGTGCTGGGAATAAGGGTGCTGGGTGGCCATCAGGGATTCTGAAGCCACCCAAAATAAGGACAGGGCTTGCGAAGGGTTTAAAAGGACCCAGGATCCAGGGAAGGCATGATGCTGCCAAATAACAGGAACCTCAAGGGGATCTGAGAAAGCACTGACGGTGTGGCCTGTCTCCTTGTCCACAGCTATGTTAGAAAACAGGCATCCCACCCTTGTGCGTAAGGATAGAATGCCTTCTCATCTCCAGGACACAGAGGCGAGTGCAGGGGGTCAGGTGAACTTCAGAGGTCTTGGTGGAATGTTTCGGAGGGAAGATCACATTTTCTCGCCTTCCATTCCTTCTCAGACCCATATATGAAATTGGAACTTCATTTAGAAAAGTAAATAGCTTTCTCCGAACTTGTGAATGTTGATTGGTAAAGATAAGTGAGACATTAAGACGTGGAATATCCGACTTTGTCACTTCGCAGTAACAACTGTCATTTATTGAGAACGCTTTATGTTCCAGGCACTATGGTAAGGAATTTACATGCATTATATTTTTCATTCTCCCCCAAACCTTAAAAGGAACTATAGGAACAGGAAGACTGTCCCTCTGCTCTTAGCTTTAGTAGTTGTGTCTATGAAATAAATTGACAATAGGCAGATTAAAGGGAAAAAGGTATAAACATTTATTAATTTTTAATATTATTTGCTTGGAGACATCTTAAGAAAACATGAAAGGATATACAAAAGGGCAGTGAGATTTGAGAGCTTACATACTCTCATAACAGAGGAAGGGGAGAAAGGAGGTGGGGCACTTAGAGGACAGTAATGCTTTTTAGAAAGGTTGAATGAGCACTTAGAAGAACAGATGGGTGAGACGATAGTTTATAAGTAAGTCTGCCTGGATATGATGTCCTTGTCCTGCCTCCTTTCCTATGAAAAGGGTCAATCTTCTATGGTTGATGAAACTTCCAGGGAGGAGATTTAGGACAATTGAGAAACTCTGTGTGTGTGTGTGTGTGTGTGTGTGTGTATGTTCCATGTCCTGATGTGATCATTACCAATGTATATACATTTTGAAAAATCATACTGTGCTAAATATATACTATTATATTACGTCTAAAATTATAATTAAAAAATGAATATTTGCAAAATCCAGAGTCACAAACATTTTCTGCTGTACTTTATTTGTCCTTGGGCAGATAAACAGTTCAGAGAAAGCTCCAAGTGCCTTCAACTCAAATAATCAACCTTCCAAAGTGGCGTATTTTGAGCGTGGTGTGGCATCTTTGGGGGTGGCATGTCCTGACTCCTTTTGAGATAATAACGTTGCCTATTTATAGATGAAGAGCATGAGACTTAGAGAAAACAACTGCCCCAAAGTCACACATCCAAAAAGCAGTACCAGCAGTTAGCGTAATGGCTATGTCACTGGACTCCCACGTAGCCGACCACGGTTCGAGTCTTGGACCCGGTGGCTTAAACTCACACTGGGTGCATGTGCGAGCATGCCCAAGATCCCGAGGATGGAAAAGAAGGAATTGTGGTATGGCCAACCCCCTGGGGCGGGTGATTTTTCACTTTCTGTCTCTTTATCTCTCTGTCTCTCTGGTGAGCGCATGCGCCCTATAGCAAAAACCTCTCCAAAAAAAAAAAAAAAAATGGCATGGTTAGATTGAAGCCAAGCCTGCCTGACTCCAAAGCGCATGGGTTATCTCCATCTAGGCAAAATGTGTTTCCTTGGATTAGTGGAAATTTTTTTTTTTTAATTTTTTTTTGAGAGGTTTTTCACTATAGGGCGCGTGCACTCGCCAGACAGAGAGAGACAGAGAGATAGAAAGCAAGGAATCACCCCCCAGAGGGGATGGCCACGCCGCAATCCCTTCTCCTCCATTCTCCTCTTGGGATCTTGGGCACGCATGCACACGCGCCCGGCATGGGTTTTAAGCCACCCAGACCGGGACTCGAACCACGGTCGACTACGTGGGAGTCCAGGGACATAGCCATTATGCTAACTGCTGATTCCCCATGGATTAGTGGAAATTTTGAGGGTAGGGAACTCTGTAGTAGCATAAGCCTGCAAATTGATATTCTCAGTGTAACAGCCTGAGTGGCATTATTGCTTCCAGAGTTAATATGAAAGACCTGGAAAGAGGGTATTTTGCCATTGTAGTCCAAATGCTAGTTACGGTTAGTTACAGCAGTGCGACTGATGTGGTGACTGCATTTTATGTCCTCATGCTGATGTCATTGTCAATGCCTTGGTCATCCCTGACCCACCTGTTAACTCTTCTGTCTGTCATTGTTGGGGAAAGGACATTTGGGGCTGAAGTTAGTCCATGGGATGGTTATAGACTAAGAACTGCCCCCCCCCCCAAATGATCATCACTATTTTAACAAATATGGTAAATTGTATGATTCAACAAAATTAGCCAGTGGAAGCAATTTGGGGACCTGCTTTCTCCAGCAACAGAACCAGATTCAGAGAAGTCATTGTCTTAGTATGATATAACCTACCTTTGGGGTGGGGCAGACAGTTAGTTACATGTAATAGTTGGAGAACTATCCTGGGGTCAGACACATTCAGGGTCTGTCGCAAACCATCTTTGTGTGGTTTCAGGCAAGTAAACTTCTACACCTTTGTTTCTTCATCTCTAAAGTGGATATAAAAGTACCTTCCTCAGGGTTGTCAGGATTTCTCCTTCCTTCCTCCTTTCCTTCCTTCCTTCCTTCCTTCCTTCCTTCCTTCCTTCCTTCCTTCCTTCTTTCCTTTCTTTTTCCATAGAGACAGAGACAGTGAGAAGGAAAGTGAGAAATCATCCCCCGGGGAAATGGCCATACCACAATCCCTTTTCCATTCTCTTCCTGAGATTTTAGGCACACATGCATATGTGCCCAGCATGATTTTCAAGTCTCTGGGTCTGGGACTCTAACTGCCATCAGCCACATGAGTGTCCAGTGCCTTAACCACTATGTCTTCTCCTGGCTCCAGGGATTCTAGAATCGAATGAGCTGATCCCTTGACAGCTCTAAGCACAGTGTCTAGAATGGAGAAGCACTGCTCATTGGTTCCTGCCACCACTAAAACAGATGCTTTTATAGCTACAATGTTCTAAACTTTGAATACCTAATGCAAGTGATCACTTGAAAACCCAGAGGCAAGAAAAACATTTACTTGATATCTATTTAATTATACATAATATGTTTTTGTCCTCAACACAGAATTTTCTTTGAGAATGGTAAATTTTGGAGGACTCCTCTCCCAGGTGTATAATACACTAAGTGCTGAATATGATAAGGTGAATTGTTTCTTTTCTAATGTGAGTCATTTCTTTGCTTTTTTTTTTTTTTTTTTTTTTTTTTTTTTAAGGGGGAATTTTGAG